CATGCATGGTTTGTTTTTAGGGTCACACACGATCATTCTCACTAACTCTGAGATGCTGGTTGTCTTCAGCAGTCCTCTCTTGGAAAGTCTGCTGACCAATAGCCGGATATTCTCATGTTCTACACATGCACAAGTATCTCTATCCCTGGTCTTTGGCTCAGTGATATAAAAAGGCCGTTTTCTGGCAAACTGTCTGTAGGATATGGAGAGATGCTGTTCTACCTCTGTTTGATACTGTGCATGGAGCTCAAGAAGGGGCTTTGTTAAAACTCTTCTTTGCATTTTCTGTTTGTTTTTGGTGATGGTGTCTTTTTTCCCAGCTAGAAGACGACTATTTTCATCTCTGGACAGAAAGTTGACAACTGCTTGCTTCCTTTCTGTTGACAGTTTCTTGGACCCCCTTTGCTTGAATTTTTCACTTAGGCTTCTTTTTGTCTTGCCATTAACCTCTTCTCATTCTTTCTGAATTTGTCATTTCGTTTTTCATCTCAATTAGTTGTTTCCTTAGATGTATGACCTGCTTTTCAGTTCACACTTCTCTTTCTGTAGTCTTTGCAATATTTCCCTGCTGTATTCCTTCTCTTATCTGGTGTGGAGGACACTGGTGGATTAAAATCCTGAACAAGGATGGGGTCTGCCACAGCTTGGCCTACATTTTCATCTTCTTGTGCCCCATCTACATCAACCAGAACTGGTGGAATGTCCTCCATAGATGGTGGTGTAAGATCAAATATAGCATTTGCCATATTTTTCCTTTCTCTGTAAGCACGAGATGCAGCCTTCCATTTCTCTCTTTGTTTATTTTTCTCTCTCTGTGGCAGATCATCTGACTTCACATATAGAATCTTTCCCTGTTGTTTTCTTCTCTGATAGCTTTCTTTTCTTCTAGCAAGGTACTCCTCTCTTGCCGCAGGGTCAGCATTAACACGCTGCCTATGGCGAGCGGTTTTGCTTTGCTTGACAGTGGCATCTGGTAAAATAGATTAAAACAGTAAATAAATGACAAATTACATTTTTTTTTACATTTTCCCATGATATTATACAAAAACTAAACGTAAATTTCATTTATGAAATATCTGGAAAACAATGCTCAAATTGTACAAAAACTATTCCAATAAATATTAATGTAGAGTACTTTTTGTATGTTAGTCTTAAAATAATATATATATAATATATAAAAGTACAAAAACTACCTATCTAGGACATATATCTATCATCAAAACACCCTACAATGGTCGCACCACATGATATCTGGTCGCACCAAATGATATTTTCACGTTCAGTCAACATTTACAGGCAAATAATTAGCCTCCTTAACAAAACAAGCTAGCTTCACACAAAAGGCGAGTTTGAAATTTATAATAAAAATATATATTTGTAGAAATAGTTTAATATTCATAATTTTTTGGAGGTCATACCACATGATATCCAGATATGGCAACTACATACCAACCGTTAGAAGCGATGTTTTTTATCAAATTTGAGAAAGATTAACAAACCTGCTTGCTGTCTCCAAGGGTTCTTGGCAAACTGTTGGACGATGCAACTTCCTGTCTTGGACTGGATTTCAAAATTAAAGTCCCAAAGTGGTAATTTTGTGGTGGTCGGACCACATGATATTTTATAAAATGGACATCCTCGGACAAAGTTTGCTTGTATGTTATAATGGAACTATAACTACAAATGCTTTGAAAATTTGTACAGGATGAAAAAACACTTTGAAAATCATGCCAAATAGGAAAGAAAATATATTTGAACAGATTTAGGGTAATTTTAAAGATGTTTTCAAAACAACAATTAAGGCCGGACAGTCGCACCACATGATATTTTGACACGTTAAAGAGCACAAAAATTGCCAACAACTCACTGTTTTGAAAGGTTAAAGTAGGTATATATGTGGAGATATATTGCATATCTGTGGTTTTTTTTTTGCATTTAAACCTTTTTTAACTGTAAAAAATAGAGTCGGACAAAAAATTTGGGCGTCACGTCATTGACCCATGTAAATAGTCACACAACTCTTTGGCGACTACTTTCTCCAGAATCTTAGAGAGGAAGGGGAGGTTAGAAATCCGTCTATAATTGGCTAAAACCCCTGGGTCAAGAGTGGGCTTTTTAAGAAGGGGTTTAATTACAGCTACTTTAAAGGACTGTGGTACATATCCTGATAATAAAGAAAGATTAATCATATCCAGTAAAGAAGTGCCAATTAAGGGTACAACTTCTTAAAGCAGCCTAGTTGGGATCGGGTCTAACAGACAGGTTGATGGCTTCGATGTAGAAATTATTGAAGTTAACTGATGAAGATCGATAGCAGAAAATCAGTCTAAATATATATCTGAGTTTACATTAGTTAAAGTTCCTGAACTTGGAGAGCCACTGATAGCTGTTGATGGCAGTTGGTGATTTATTTTCTCTCTAATAGTAATGATTTTATTATAAAAGAAGCTCATGAAGTCATTGCTACTTAAGTTTAATGCCATTTCAACATAGTTGCTGTTTCATGATGGATTTTCCACCCACTGTAAAGTCACATTTCCAACTTTAATTGACTTAAGTGTTAGATTTCAGTCACAGAAACACAGGTATGTCCTGAATAATGTAACTGTACTAGAGGCAGTCCTGTCAGGATGCTGCTTTTTACTTTTAAAATTACTTCTAAAATTTGTTGCCTGTAATTTTGTAAACAATTTCTGCAGAAAAGTGTGTTAAATGCTTGATTAAAATTACCGTCCTAGCATAAGTAAAAGGGTCTTTGCTCAAGATGCCATAAAACTGAATTACCCTTTGGTGAACGTCATGGCCAAAGTTGCATCAGTGTGTTAGTTTTGTTGTCCCCTTAACGCAGAAGTGTAAATCCAGGTAAAATGTCACTGTTCAATTACTGTTTACTAAGCACTAGCAAGTACATGGTGTATGAAATACAATAAATGCTTCTTACGGGCAGGGGGGATGTAGGTACCAGAGATTCAGTGAACTGCGAACAGGTGCACGTGCCAGAAGGGAGCGCAAGTGCATGGAAATATTAGCGCAAAGGGCCTTGCATCACCAGTTTCTTTCTCCGGGAAGGTAGGGGAATACCATTATCTGATTGGTTTACAAGCAGCTTGCTTCGCTCGTGTTTTAATATTTTCTGGTATATCTAAGAGTTACCCAGGAGCTCGGTTGACATAGGCTTAGCTATCGTTAGCTACAGCTTGATGAATTGAGTAATTGAACACAGCAGGAGAGAACGCAACGTTAGCCAGCTAAATTTCCGGTGGAAAATTATTAGCTAACGCTACCGTTAACGTTAGTCTAACATTAGCTAGATATTGTTACTAAAACTAGCTGCTAGCTTGTATAGCTAATGGTAACTCACAAAAAAGAAATAATAAAATGTATTAAAATCTGAATTACATAACATTGTATTGGCTGTCAATCATGATGGAAGAGTAGACAAGTTAAGTTACAGCATGTCCACCATCTCTTGTGGGGGTTATGCATTAAGCCATTTGTGGTACCCTTACCACATTGTGCCTCATATATTGTAAATGTTGGACCCAGTGACAGGCTGGCATGAAATGGCTTGCATAATACTTAGTAAGGAGGCCATAATATTTTTGACTCATGGCTGAAGTTAAGTTTCTCCAGCTCTCCCCAGGTTGGCAAAAAATGCATCTCAAAATGCATCAGATTAGTGCTTTAAAATATGGAATATGCAAGCACGCCCCCGGACCCCCCTAGAGAGGGTCATATCCTTTTCACCTCTTTCACCCCTAACCCGTTTTCATGCGTGCAAGATACTGAACCCCAAATTGCTCCCGATGCCGTGCATTGGTGTGTGAATGTGGATGAATGTTATTTTCTGTTCGATGGACTTTGCCATCACTCTGTGAACGTGTGTGAAAGGGTGAATGTGGCAAGTAGTGCAAAAGCGCTTTGAGTGGTTGGAAGAATAGAAAGGCGCTATACAAGTACAGGTCCATTTACCATTTACCATTTACCCTACTAAAAAACCCTGTAAGGGTTAAGGTTAGGATTAGGAATTATTTTTATAATTGATCATGAAACAAATAGCTGATTAATTTTATTTTTATAGAATACTCAACTAATTGTTACAGCTCTAGTATGTTATAGTATTGGACATGCCTTTTATATTGCCCAAAACATGGGATAGGGTTTAGTTAAGTACACTACATATTGTACCAATCAAGAGGCAATACTGGCCAATCAGATACAGAGTAGTAGAGTAGGGCAGGTCATATTTGCTGTGTATTTGCCTAATGCCACTGGTTGTATTTGAACAAACTCGTCCTAGGGAATTTATCGGATCAACTTCAACATTGCTCAGTACAGTCAAAACAAAAGTTGTGCAATTTGTGACTATATGTCGAACAGCGTGCCTGTGGCGTCGCCATGAAACAGGAAGTACTCATAACTTCAGTTTACATGGTCTAATCTCCACTATACTTAACATATTTTGTAAAAGTACCACCCTGAACACATCTACATGCCAATATTCAGTCAGTGATAGCACCCCCTACTGGTGATTTTGATCTGATTCACGTGAAATTTTCATGTCGTGGTCCACACATGTTATGCCAGCACATGACACGGCTGCAGCACACCTCGGTGTGCGCCGAGTGCGAGGGCCGGTTCATCGCTGCTTGCAGCTTTAATTTAGAATTTCAAATTTTTTCCAATGTATCAAATTAAATTGGTACTTGTATCGTCTAGTAAATTATCAAAATTGATATTGGGAAGGAAGGAAAGAAATTATTTGGAGACATCTCCACTGGTCATCCATCCAGGAGAACACAAAATCACATCTCAAACATTCTTGTATTCCATACATGCATCTGTTCAGTGACTTTTTAATTTATTAGTAATTCAGTTATTGTGGTATTCATTTTTATGTACTAATCTGTCTCTTTTTTTCTGTCTGATTTCTTTGCTTCTGTATTTTGGACTTTGCTCACTGTCCGTCATCTCTCTCCTTCCCTCTGTTGTTGCTGTAGGTACTTTCCAGGGTCAGTGGACTGGTGGGATGCGTCATGGCTATGGCGTACGTCAAAGTGTTCCATATGGTATGGCCTCTGTCATCCGCTCACCTCTACGAACCTCGCTGGCTTCCCTTCGCAGTGAGCAGAGTAATGGTACAGTACTGCGTGACAGCCTTTCTGACAGCCCTGCTGGCACACGTGGTGGCTTTGTACTCAACTTCCACTCAGACGGAGAAGGTTTAGAGAAGAAGAAAGGTCTTTTTCGCCGTGGCTCGCTCTTCGGTAGCCTTCAGCGACTACGCAAATCAGACTCACGTTCATCAATTTCCAGTAAACGCAGCTCAGCACACAGTGACACCACCATGAGCCGCATCAGTTCAAGTGACGCCAATTCAACAATCAGCTTTGGAGACGGAGACCCAGGTGATGACTACCTGCCACTGGAGGACAATGTGGATGCCACCACCACTGAGTCCTACATGGGCGAGTGGAAGAATGACAAGCGCAGTGGCTTTGGTGTCTCCGAGCGCTCCAACGGCATGAAGTACGAAGGCGAGTGGTTGAACAATAAGCGCCATGGCTATGGCTGCACCCTCTTTCCTGATGGCACCAAGGAAGAAGGAAAGTACAAGAACAACGTGCTGGTGCGGGGCATCAGGAAGCAGCTGATCCCACTGAAGAACACCAAGACCAAACAGAAGGTGGGTCGAGCCATCGAGGGTGCAGTGAGAGCAGCAGCCATCGCCAGAACCAAAGTGGAGATAGCCATCTCCAGGTAATATATATGTGTAAAAAAATCTTAGAAAACCACAACTAAACATTTTGGCCTGTTTTCTGCATTTATATTAAAGTGCTCACAGAAAGTGAGGGTGTAAGTAATGAAGGATGACGTAAAGAAAGATCCCTGTGTGGACTTGAAGTGGAAAGGTTGAAGTTACATGTCACCTGTTGGCTCTGGTACTTGCTCATGTCTTCGTTTACTCACCAGCAACATTGCTGAAAATGACAATCAAACAATAAAACAGGTTTGAAACTAACCTTGAGGTTAGTCAAACTTCTTTGGAACATAAAACAAAGGTGAGCAGTAAATGTATTACACAAAATGTCCATTGTGAACATCCATCAGAGCTTACATAGTGGACCTAACTTTCCTCAGTTGTGTTGAACTTGTAACAGTGGTTTCTTTGATTAGTGTGTGTTACTGAACACTTGCACGATGCATGAGAACAAGAGGCACAAATGCACATTTCTGTACGCATGCTTCAATACAATCATAAGTACATGCTTAAACAGTCTAATCCAGTAGAGCTGGTGGTAGAAGGTAGGAAATGGGAGTGTGTGTGTCTGTCTGTCTGTCTGTGTCTGAAGTAGTGTTTGTCTAAATAAGGCCATGGAGGAGGACTTATCAACAGCTGACAGGAATACTGTCTCACAGTGCCCCCAGCTCAAACACACACACACACACACACACACACACACACACACACACATATCACACACATATTCAGTCAGTCAGTTGTGTTGTTTTAACTGTTTAGTCTCCTTGGTCAGTCTTGAGGAACAGTCTGAACTCTGTTGATGACCTTTTTGAATGGTGCTTCCCTGGTTCTGTTGTGGCTGTAGGTTGATTGTTAATTGATTTCAATAGTAGCACTATGACCAATAATATAATATAATATAACACATAACATTGAAAGCTGAGGGATGTGAGTGATTAGTCAACTAGTCGATTAAACAAATGATTATATTTTAGTAGCCCCCTGTCCCTGCACTAATGACACTGCTGGTGTTAAGAGTAATTTTTGTCCCACTGTTATTTTTTGCCAACCCTATCTTTCTATAATTTAGTTTGCCTATGATAAATACCATACCAATAAAAGCCTTTTTAACATATGAATGGATTCTGTCTACAGAAACCAGAGAGCTTTTAGTCTGAAACAGATACAGGAGGTGTTAAGTTTATAAAATAAATGTATATTTTGTCATACTTGACATATAGACATTGAAACTGTAGTGGATGGTGTATATGTTGCTGGTATAATGTCCATATGACTGTGAACAGAAGATTTTCACTGTCTATTTCTGCTGTGCACAGCTTGCAGAAAAAATCGGCCAGACTCTCTAGTGAAGCATTGCTGCAGCCGCAGCTGAGATGTGCAAGGACAGAATGCTTTAATCTGTTAATATGGTCGTCGAAATATGGGTGCTCCTGCCACGCTGCTCAAGTAGGCAGTGTGAACGAGCCGTGATGTGGATTGGTATAGCATTCCATTCATGTGCATATCTTATTCAACAAAATTACGTGAAAAATTAAAGAAATATGGGTAGAAATGAATGATATACAGTTAGAAATAACAGTCTGTGCTACAGTGTGTATCTGTGCAGCTGTTTACAAGGCATTATCTATCTAGAATTAGAGACACATTAGTACTGCATCACACTGGGACAAACGGACACAGTATTTATTTATCCTAAAAAGCGAATGCAGTTGTATGCAAAACTTTGGGCAACATATTTTGGTGATTTTTTTTTTTTTTTATAGAAAAGATGGAAACAGATGGTCGTAATAAATATTCTGGCATTGTGATTTAGTGATTGTAATTATTCTTAATGGTATAATTATGACAGTTTCATTTGAGAGCAGTCCCTGCTATCAGTGGCTGCCATGCAAGGTGCCAACTGCTAATCAGAATGAAAACTATGCATTCATACACCGATGCACAGCATCGGGAGCAAATTTCAGAATCTTGCTTAAGGACACTTCGACATGCAGCGAGAGAAGCCAGGGACTGAACCACCAAATTTCTAATTAGTAGACAACCCGCTCTACATCTGAGCCACAGCTGCCTGGCTTCTTCTGTTATGATAGTTTTTGGCGTTTTGTTTTTTTGTTTTGCAGTTTTTATCCACTCAGCTTTGTGTAGGTTCAAATATTCCTGATATTATAAATTTCAATGCCAGGGTCAGATTTAACTCTACAAAAAAGATGGTTGTTGGTCCAATAGAGGTGGGCGATATATATATATATCGTTTGCGATAATATCGTCATTGTTGTTTTGACGATGTGCAAATTTCCATTATCGAGTATTTAAATTACTTCGACAAAAACAATGAAACGCCCGCGGAAACTCCTCACATCCATTAATACACGGTGCAGCAGCGCTCTCTACAGCATGACAGGATTCAGTCACACAACTAGTGGGCCTACGTGATCACATGACGTGATCACGTGACCTCTCGCTAGCATCCTCCTTGCAACAGTTTAGCAGCGCGTTGCGATGGTAGAGAGAAAATACAAGCACCTCCAGTCCCTGAAGCTACCGGTACTTCAGATGTTTTAGTGCTGAGACGTGGGTCCTATGGGCTTCAGCGTTCAGAGCGCTAAGAGCCTTCAGCGGTAAAAAGATGTCAGCGGAGACGGGGTTTTTTTAGCGCAGCGCTCAGAGCGCTTTAAGTTGAAATCTGTTCAACTTTTAACACCGCTGGCCGTTCGGAAAATAAGTTTTTGAGCTCTCTCAGCGCTGTAAACGCGTTTGGTGGACACAAGTCCAGCTCAGACAGTTCTAATCACATTTTAAAGGATATCAACTGATTATTGTTATCGCCAAAATCCCAAAAAATATTGAGATATTATTTTTTGCCCATATCGCCCACCCCTATGGTCCAACACCTAGCTCCTCCCACCACATCTTGAAGTATCCTTGAGCAAGATACTAAACCCCAAATTGCAATGAATGTGTAGGAATGCGGCTGTGGTGCAGGCAGAGCGGGTCGTTCCCTAATCGGAAGGTTGTGGGTTCGATCCCCGGCTCCTGGTGCCACATGTCAAAGTATCCTTGAGCAAAATACTGAACTTCAAATTGCATCGGTGTATGAATGTTAGTTTCTGTCTGATGGACTTTGCCCATCACTGAGTGAATGTGTGTGAAAGCGCTTTGAGTGGTCGGAAGACTAGAAAGGCGCTATACAAGTACATTTGCCATTTACCATCCCCAGATACCCAGCGTTCGAAAAGTCTCCCTCATGCCCAGTGGTAATGCCATTGGTGTCATGTGTTGCAAGCGCCTATGCTATTCCCAGCAGAAAGAGGGAAAAAGACAGTAGCCACTGTGTTGCATGTGTTACATCCTGGCAAGCTTAAAGTCAGCAATGGCGGAAATAAAACCACACCCATCCTTGGGTGGGGTTCAGATCTCAAATTTGTCTTAAAGATTCAGATACTGACAGAATCAGTCTCAGTTGTATACCCACGCAGAACTCTCCTCTAAACTGTTTGACTATTTCTGTGAGTGGATAAATTGCACCATGGGATGGTCAGTCGATTAACTGATTATTTGTTACAGCTTTAAATGCCACAGGTATTTTAAACTTTTGTCCAGTGTAGGTGCAATTTGTTAGAACTATTACAATTTGGTGTTTTTTTGTTGTTCATTTTGAAGAGATCTAATTCATTTCTTGCATTTTCCTCTTCCTATAGGAAAAGAAAGATAAATATTTATCTTTTACTTAATTATCAAAATAGCCAATATTAGCCCCACTGTAAACATGACGTATAGTAAGACGAAAGTTTTAACCAAAAATAAGGATAGAATAGAATTCCTTTATTTTGATTGCACATTGTACAACAGCAGCCCCTAATGATGGCATTAAACATTTCACATACCCATGTACCTGCCCATACAGATACATAATAATAATAATAATAATAATAATAATAATAATAATAATGATAATTAATAATAATTAAAGCTGCAAGCAGCGTTGAGCGGGACCTCGCACTCCACGCAACTTGGGGCGTGCTGCAGCCGCGTCGCATGCCATTGTTACACAATGTACACTCAAGTTATAGCAAAGTTATAGCCACCCCACAGACACGCCCCCTCACCACAGTCAACACATATCATCAACAATGTGTTTTGCATTTTATAAGTAAATTTCAGCTGGATCTGATCATCCTGCGAGGAGTAGAACATGAAAGTATAAAACGTGTTACTTCCTCTTACCAGTATGTGGCGCTATCACTATGTCTGAATATTGTCATGTAGATGTGTTCAGGGTGGGACTGTTATCAAACACGTGAAGTTTCATTGAGATTGGATCATGTACGCTGAAGTTATGGTAAATGGTAAATGGACCTGTACTTGTATAGCGCCTTTCTAGTCTTCCGACCACTCAAAGCGCTTCTACACTACGTGCCACAATCGCCCTTTCACACACATTAATGGACATGCACAAATAGCACAACCTTTAATCAGCACCATTTTTTGACTGTAATGACCAATTTTCAAGTAGATCCGATAAATTCCCTAGGAGGAGTTCGTTCAAATACAACGCGAAAAATTCACCGAAAATGCGCACGGAATTCACTATGGCCAACTTTGAGGGCACGCCACGGACACGCCCTTCAACGTACATGCACAAATACAACGCGGAAAGTTCGCCGAAAGTGAAAATCAAAATCAAAATGGACGACTTCCTGTGGGGTTTCAGGTATGGGTCCAAAAGGCTTTTTTTTTGTACGTCCCGGCATGTTACAGGTACCTACTGAGTTTCGTACACATCGGTGAAACGTGGTGCCGGGGCTGCTGTTTTTTTTATCCTGTAGGGGGCACTACACACACGACAAACACGATTTTTGGTATGTGAGCTTCAGGCACTACTCTACACATGCCCTGTGAATTTCATATTCATAACTATTACGGTCTCCGCACAGTGATTCATCATGCCAAAAGAGCGCCACCTAGTGGCGTATTTTTTTTGTCCTTTTTAAGTGAGCCTCAGGGAGCCATGGGGAAGCATCGTACCAAGTTTCATCTTAATCACACATACCATTGTAGAGATATAAACTTCTTAATTTTAAAGAGCGCCACCTAGTGGCGATGGCCTGAAATTGAGCACGATGCTTAAGGAAGACATGAGTAACTATGGACCCAAGTTTAGTGTCAACCGGACATACCTATGTGGAGAAATGGTCCACTTCCTTTTTTGACGAAAAATCAACAGGAAGTGCTAATTTTATAGCGTACCTATTGTTTGAAATTTCAAAAATGTTCAAATTACTTTTTTTGCCATGGCGGTCCCCAGGTGCTAGGTGAAAATTTTTGTGCGAATCGGACAAAGCGTGTAGGAGGAACATGAAAAAGTAGTTTAAGGACATTTCGTGCTCTAACGAAAATAAATTATAGGCGGAAGTGGGCGGGGCCTATATGGGGAGATTCAGCTCCATTCACCAAACACGTGGATATAAGTTTTTTGAATGTGCGACAAACTATGCAGAAGTTATTAGCCTAAACGCATTTTTTATGATAGTAGCGCCACCTAGTGGCCAACCCGAAAGCGACGCATAGAATATCCCCATTTTCACCGGGCCTGACAACATTGCTAAATAAAATTGACTTTTCGTATATGTTCAGGGGGGCAAAAATGCAGTCAAAGGAGGCTAAAAATAATAGGTAAGAAGAAGAAATCGAGCAAAAACAATAGGGACCTCCAGCGGTCGCTGGCTCGGTCCCTAATAATAATAGCAAAAATTAGGGGCTGTCCCTGAAAAGTCAGTGATTCAAAACATCAGTCAAGAAGACCCAGAGTTGACTTGCATTTTTCATTCTAAACTTGTTGTTTAGCTGCACGTTTGTACACAGAGCAACAGCATGGCAGGCTGTAAACTTTGTGGAGTTTAGCTCAAGGATGACTTCAACATGTTAGGAGGAGGATGGTGGAGAGAGCTGGGCAGCAGTAACAGGCGGTGAGTGTCAGAGTGACAACTCCTAGGTTATGATTGGATGTTACTACTCAGCTGATAGTCAGCTAACACAGGCATGTCTAAGTTAAATACTGCAGCACTGTAGTGAGATTAATTATCTTATTAGGTTTCATAAATCTTTGCTCAGTGGTGTGTAGATTTTTGTGAACACAAAGACACACTAAATTAACCCTGTGTAACACAATATGGACAGCTAAACTGTGTGAGTATGTTAGTTAATTACTTGATGGATGCCAACCTCATTGAGTCATATTTGTGTATTTTTGCAGGACGTCCCATGCCCGAGCCAAAGCAGAGGCTGCAGACCTGGCTGCACAGTCAGCCAGTCAGGATTCAGATATTGCCAGAGCTGTGGCCAGAGAGCTCTCCCCAACCTTCCATCAGCCAGGTACTGTACCAGCAGAAACATGTAGTAAACTGCAGCCTGTGATTCATGCGATCTATCATCATCTGGAAGGAGGGCTACATTTACACTGCCATATAACTAGGGCTGAAACTTTTACTTCCTTAACTTGAGGGAGTTGTTTCTTCTACATTGGATAATTGCTCACTATTTGTTTAAACCTACATTAGCTCTGCTCAAGCACTCTTATCTCTCTCCTTTAGCAACTTTAGTTCTGCTACTTACATTCAGCAGCTAGTTAGCTAAGCGGTTAGTGATGGCTTCTTTCTCTCACTTTCTCTCTCCTGCTCTTTGTTGCTAAGTGTCAAATGTTTAGCCATTCCTCTGCCTCCTTTAGTGATGGTACATGTAATGTAATGAAATGTAGTATGGCTGGGCGATTTGGACAAATATCGTCGATTGGCGTCCATCGTGGCTTTTTTTATTTTTTTATGATTTTTGGGGCAATTTTTGTTATGTTATTTTGCTAATTTAATGGTCTGCCTCCGGAAAATGAGAGCTGCACTGAGCCAAAGAACAAGTGAAAGGAAAAACAGCCGCAAACAGTGTATTTTCACATGTAACTGCTTTGAATTAAGGGTTTATTTCGATAAGTTTGACAACAGGGAATACAGTTACATATCAGCAATCGCAAAATGTTGGACTGACTGTGGCCGGTTGGAAAACTTTAATTCAACCCTAACATTTTGCTGTTTTTTTTCCATGCTGGATACGAGCCTTGAATTGGAAGCTCCACACGACGGAAGCTAAATTGTTGATAGCTGTACTTATCAAGACTGCAGGAGCCGCTCTTATGATTTGGCTGCTCTTTCTACTTTTTAGAAAGAAATACAGTAGTTTCTGAGCTTTTTAACCAAGGTGGAGGTAGGTTAAGGTAACCTTGTTGTTAAGAACGATAGTGGAGAACTGTCTGGGGTCTGTTGCTGCTGAGGCAGTCCAATGTCTAGTTGCATAGAGTGCCCAGTTCCACAGGGGGAGATTGTGTTGATGCTGAGCAGAAATCAACAAACAGCATTCTGACATAGGTGTAGGTGCTATGGTATACACAGTGGGACCATTTGTTGGTACAACAGTAGTTTAAAGGGCCACCAAACTGGTGGTGCAATTAATTAACTTTGTCCATCAAACTTTGATAATTTAAACTTAAGATAATAATTAATAACTTCAATTAATATTAAAGTTCCTCAGGGCACCACCCTTTAAATAAGGGAACCGATAATCGATCAAGCCAATAATTGATTGATTCAGTCTCATAAATTACACTAAACTACCAATTTACAGATCAGAATAAAAATGAAATAAATAATTACAACCAAAATCACTATTTACTAATAGTAAAGTGGAAGGATTTGGAGTTGCCGGTGTGCTGTGTAACATTGGCTGAACTACCATCTTGGTCATCCAGTCTTTCAGAGCTATGCTTTTCCCCATTTGACATATACATATATCTAAGTGAGGTGTAAATTTCCATTATTGAGTATTTAAATTACTTCGACAAAAACATTGAAACACACGCGGAAACTCCTCACATCCACTTAATACACAGTGCAGCAACGCTCTCTACAGCATGGCAGGATTCAGTCACACAACTAGTGGGCCTACGTGATCACATGACGTGATCACGTGAACTCTCGCTAGCATCCTCCTTGCAAAAGTTTAGCAGCGCGTAGTGATGGTAGAGAGAAAATGCAAGCATCTCCAGTCCCTGAAGCTACCGGTACTTCAGATGATTTAGTGCCGAGACCTGGGTCCTATGGGCTTCAGCGTTCAGAGCGCTAAGTGCCTTCAGCAGTAAAAAGATGTCAGCGAAGACGATTTTTTTTTAGCGCAGCGCTCAGAGTGCTTCGAGTTGAAATCTGTTCAACTTTTTACACCGCTGGGCGCTCGGAAAATGAGTTTTTGAGCGCTCTCAGGGCTGTAAACGCATTTGGTGGACACAAGTCCTAACTGAGACAATTCTAATCACATTTAAAAGGATATCAACTGATTATCGTTATCGCCAAAATCCCCAAAAATATTGAGATATTATTTTTTGCCCATATCGCCCACCCCTACTGGCTGCACAGGTTTCTTGATTTGTCACAATGTTGCCTTGTTCCCAATCTCAGAAATTACTTTGACGAGTACAGTATTAACATAACTGATACACATGATGGACAAAACTACCAAAACAAGACCCAAGTTGTAATAAACTCGAATTATCCCTTAATGCTGGATATTTACCCTTCATACCTAACATGCTTTAGTTATTTTTCAGTAGGCATATTGTTTTCTTAACTTTTGTGTTATTTCAGGCCCTGACTACATACGGCAGAAGTATAATGAGCCAGTAGAGATGAAAGAAGTTCCTGTGGAAGAGAAAAAGGAGAAATCTCCATCAGGGAGCCCTCATTTCTACCGGAAAGGCACAACACCAACCCAGTCTCCATCTCAGAGCCCAGGTCCCAGCCCCACTCCTTCACCCACTGCTTCTAAAAATACCTTTTTCAGCAGTAAAACTCCTGCCACTCTTGCTACTGCAAGGAAAGAGAACAGAACCCCAACAGCTGAGTCTTTGACAGCAGGTAAGCAACTTGGGTTATTGTTAATCTAACCGGGGGCGGGTGTGGCTCAGAGGCAGAGAGTGTTGTCCACTAATCAGACTGTAGTTGGTTTGATCCCTCTTCCATGTCAAAGTGTCCTTGAGCAAGATACTGAACCCCAAATTGCTCCTTAGACTTAGACTTCTCTTTATTGATCCTCCCCCAAGGAAATTGAATTTCCAGCAACTTACAAAACAGTGTAGAAAAATAAAGAGGTATAAAAAAAAATACAGTACAAGATAAACAATAAACTCTTTGCTAGATATAGAAAGTAGACAATAAACAGTAAACAATAAACTCTTAGCTAGAGATAAGAATAAAAATAAAATAAGATAAAATTCACAACATGCCTTTTCAACTCAACTCAGAGATTGTTGAAGGAAGGTGCAAATTGGAGAGTAGTATGTGAAGACATGGACATTTTTGAGGGGGAAATAGACTTTTTTTTCGTCGCAAAGGCATTATCTCCGTGATCGATTATTCTGGGCTTTCGGTGAAGCGAGCGGTGGAAAAACAGGTAGGCGACAGTACTGTTTTGTACGGTTTCTGCACTACGTATGAGTTGAGAAGGCATGTTGTTGTCACGTAAGGGCCCTGATCATGTTGCACAGACATTTTAATTGCATGTTGTGTCTGTTAAGAAGAGCAAAAGACACTCTTTAGGATATGCCCCCAAGAAGTGTATTATAACTAACTGGGAGCTCTGGCCATTAGCTGCAGGATCTCCAGTTTGCTAGCACCGGTTTTGGTCGTTCTTTTTCCTATCGACAGTACTCTGTGACCTCTAGTGATCAAGACTAGGGTAAAAATCTGCCAAAGTTCCCCTTTAAGTGGTGGATCAAGTTATTGCACAAAAAAAATATGTAAGAAGAGTGTCCAGGTATGTATGAGTAGATTATTATTATTGCACAGTTATTGCACAGTGAGTGGCTACCACTCCTTCCCTTCTGTCCTCTTTACCCTATTTACTCCTCCCCCCGAGTGAGGAGTTGTAGAGTGTGATGGCACCAGGGACAAAGGAGTTCTTGAGCCTGTTGGTCCTACACTTGGGAAGGAGCAGCCTTTCACTGAACAGGCTCCTCTGGTTGCTGATGACGGTGTGCAGGGGGTGGCGGACATTGTCACTAATGTCCAGCAGTTTGTCCAGTGTCCTCCTCTCTGCCACCGTCACCAGTGAGTCCAGCTTCATGCCGACCACAGAGCCGGCCTGCCTGATCAATTTATCCAGTCTGGAGGTGTCCTTCTTGGATATGCTGCCCCCCCAGCACACAACAGTGTAGAAGAGGACACTGGTAACCACAGACCAACAAAACATCCACAGCAGTTTGCTGCAGATGTTGAAGCATCACAATCTCCTCAGGAAGTACAACCTGCTTTGTGTCTTCCAGTACAGGTGACTGGTGTGTGTTGTCCAGTCTAGTTTTTATTATCCAGCCACAGCCCGAGGTATTTGTATGATTCCACAGCCTCCACCTCAGCTCCCTCTAGCAGGACTGGTCGCGCACTTGGTCTGGACCTCCCAAAGTAAATGACCAGCTCCTTCGTCTTAGAGGTGTTGAGCTGTAGGTGGTTAGTGTGAGACCAGAGAGCAAAGTCCCCCACCAGACTCCGATACTCCTCCTCTCTGTCACCCCTGATACACCCAACAATGGCTGTGTCATCAGCGTACTTCTGTATGTGACACAGCTCCGAGTTGTAACAGAAGTCCGAGGTGTACAGGGTGAAGAGAAGAGGGGCCCTGGGGGGCCCCAGTGCTGCTGACCACAGTGTCAGACGTGGTGTTCTTCAGCCTGACGTACTGTGGCCTGTCAGTGAGGTAATCCTTGATCCAGTCCACCAGATAGAAATCCACTCCCATCCTTTTCAGTTTGTCCTGAAGTATAGGGGGCTGGATGGTGTTAAAGGCACGGTCGGAAGTCATTCAGCTCGCTGGGCCTGTTCTTCTTCGGAACCGGAACAATGCAGGATGTCTTCCAGAGGGTGGGCACTCTCCCTAGCTGCAGGCTAAGGTTGAAGATCCGTTGTAGTGATTCCCCCAGTTCTGCAGCGCAGGTCTTCAGTAGTCTCGGACACACTTTGTCCGGGCCTGCTGCTTTCCTGAGCTGGAGCTTCCTCAGCTGTCCTCTGACCTGGTCTGTGGTGATGTGAGGCGGGGATTGTGTTGAGGTGGGGGAGGAAGAGGGGGGCGTTGTGGTGTCAGGGGGGAGGTGTGTAGAGGGAAGAAGGAGAGATGGCTGTGGTGAGGAGGAGGGGGGTGTTGTGGTGTCAGGGGGGAGGTGTGTAGCGGGAAGAAGGAGAGATGGCTGCGGTGAGGGTGGGGTTGGGGGGGGACAAGGGCCGGTTAAACCTGTTGAAGAAGTCATTCAGCTCGTTCGCCCTCTCCAGCTACAGGGGGGACTGTAGCTCTGATCTTTGTGTTGTGACCTGTGATGGTCCTCACACCTTCCCAGACCTCCCTCATGTTGTTCTCCTTCAGCTTCTGCTCCACCTTTCGCCTGTAGCTGTCCTTGACTTCCCTCACGCAGTGTTTCACCTCCTGCTGTGCTGCCTTCATGGCCTCCCTGTCCCTGCTCCTGAAGGCAGCCTTCTTCTTGTTGAGGACAGCCTTGACTTCCAGCGTTACCCATGGCTTGTTATTAGGGTAGCAGCGGACAGTCTTCACAGGGGAGACCACATCTGCACAGAAGTTCAGGTAATCTGTCAGACAATGTGTCATCCCCTCTATGTCCTCACCATGCGGGTTGATCAGCACATCCCAGACTGTGGTGTTGTAACAGTCTCTCAGGGCACTTTCCATCTCAGGGGACCACCTCCTTATGGTGCGAGTTGTCACCGGCTGCTTTTGGACCAGGGGGGTGTACAGTTGGTGTGTTTCTGCCATCACTGAGTGTATGAAAGAGCGAATGTGGCATGTAGTGTAAAAGCACTTTGAGTGGTCGGAAGACTAGAAAGTAGCTATACAAGTACAGATCCATTTACCACGTCTTTTTTATTTCCCTCATCAGCAAATGCAAATGACAGTCAGTCTATCAGAGCAAGGCTTTCCCTTTCTCGCTCTCTGGTACCTGTCCTGGTGGCTGCATTTTTTTAGTCAGCTGTAGGGAGGAGAGAGGTTTGCTGCAGACAGAAAAAGGAGTTGGAGTAATCTAGGTGAGATGAAATAAAAGCATGAATATTTCCAGATTTTTGGTTAAAAGAAATGGCTTTATTTTGCAGATTTTCCTACGTTGAAAGAAGCATGCCTGTGTTACAGATTTGATGTGGCTGTTCAATGAGAGGTTGCTGTCAAATAGAACACCAAGTTTTCTAAAATGTGAAGTAATAAAATTGGAGTATGAACCTAGCATGTTTCTAATTTCAGTGTTGGATGAGCCAGTGCCAAAAAGCAGAATCTCTGTCTTTTTTTAGTTTAGTTGAAAGACGTTTTGGGCCATTTATTTGTGGATGTCCTTCAAACAGCAGTGATGCTGTTTATAAGAGAATTCATTTAATTAATGTATTGGGGTCACAACTGAGTCGTCTGCATAAATATTATGAGATAATAATGGCAGCATGTAAATGGTAAATAAAATTGGGCCAAGCACTGAACCCTGAGGAAGCCCACAATGCAGCGTAGAGGTTGAAGACCTGGATTCTGGAGTATGACTGACTGGAGCTAGTGTGCTGGCTCTGAAATAATGTCTTGTCCTCTCTGTATGTTAGCTGCACAGCAGCAACTTTAGCAACTGTTTGCAAACCCACAACATTGCTAATGTTAGTTACATTACTTGCTGTGTGGTTGTTTGCACTATAAGGTAATTGATATGTTATTGGGTTTCTCCAGAAGCGCTTTACCACCTTTAATTGTCAGGTTGCTCACTGTCACTCTCTTGTAATGTAGAACCAATATATGTGTTGGTTCTTTGGTTAACTATTTTTCTTCTCCTTTCTTGTATTCGGCAGGCATAACAAAGGCAGCATCAAAACTTTCTCTCAAACAGGAACTGAGACAACAGGAAGCTCTTCCAGCAGTCAAACCAGCTGTTACCACAACAGTCAGCAGTTACCCCAGCAATGGGCAGATTCACTCCCAGTACCACGGTTATTATGTAAAGGCAGACACCAAGATTCCACCACCGGAAGAACCAATTGGTGTGGAGGACGACCTTCACCCATCAAGCCTTGCACGCCTGCCGCCACCTGCCAAACAGATTTGGGTGCCAGCACCAAAATTCCTGCCAGCTCCTAGCCCATCACCAGTTCTACCAAAAGAGAGCACCAAAGCACCAGAGCCTCCCAAGCCAAAACGACAGGACAACCAAACAACAACCAAACCAAAGAGCCTCACTGAAACCAAGAAAGTTAGTGTGGAAATAGCTTCTGAAATTGTAGAAGAGAAGTCGGTGAGTTAGATCAAGTTACCATACATGATTTTGATTCTAACTTGCAGCTTTGAGTGATGTATGCTGAGCCCCAGCTGAAATTAAATCCACAGTCCTAGTAATGTTAATGCCAGTAGCCTCCAGCTTGTTCTTTAGAGGGTAAAGGTGCATTAGTGGTCTTCAGCGATCCATAAGGTTTTGCCCAAACTCAAAACTACTACTAAATTGTACTACCGGGAACAAAACCAGTCTATTATTTAAAAGTCATTAATGTAACATTAATAGCCTTCTCCCCTGTGCCTGGCCATGATGCATACTCCTTGCCCAGAAAGTACATCCAGGTTTTCGGTTACTCCTGTCTTGCTGATTAAAACAGCATGGCTAATCTACTCGTTATTTCATCTTAGAAGTCCCCTTGCTGTGACAGATCACAAATGTGAATTGTTAGAATCAGCTTTGTAGTTTTGTTGCACGTAGCATAGTAAAGATAACTTTGACTGTTTGCCCTTTTGACCTGTAATAACAATTGCTTGTTTGTTGCCACAGCTGACATTAACACAACTAATTTGCTATCATCTGTGCTCCCTGAGACGAATCTGATCTCTGATCCTTCACCTTCTAAGCCAAGACATATACACACACACACACACACACACACACACACACACACACACACACACACACAGTACTTCCATCATGATCAGTGCTGCCTGGTCATGTCCAGGTATTCTCAGATCCACTTGGGTATTACACATAATGTTAAACAGTTAAACAGTTAAACATTACCTGTGGTAATGGAACAGGACCCAATTTTGACGTGACCATAATTGTACTACACTGTAAACCCGGATAAGTTGAGTTTACTTAAAAAATTTGAGGAAACCGGTTGCCTTAAAAATTAAGTAATGTTTGATGAAAACTTGAGTGAATTTAACTTAAAAACATGAGTACTGAAATTGTTATTTTAAGTTCAATGCACTAACCTCCAAGTTGATTTAACTTAAAATCATTTGTAGTATAAATGTATTCGCTCATTTATTCCACTTAAAATTTAAAGCTTAATGCACTTATCTCCAAGTTGATTTAACTTAAAATCATTTGTAGTATAAATGTATTCGCTCATTTATTCCACTTAAAATTTAAAGCTTAATGCACTTATCTCCAAGTTGATTTAACTTAAAATCGTTTGTAACATAAATTTTGTTGCTCATTTATTCCACTTAAAATTTAAAGCCCAATGCACTAACCTCAAATGTTGATTTCACTTGAAATCACTTGTATTGTTAATTGCTTTACCCAATTACTCCACCTAGTATCTTAAGAGTAAAAAACAAAATTCTATTTCATTAAACTGTTTTAAACAGGAAATTCGAAATTAAGAAAATAAAAAGCAAACCACAAAAGTACATTCTTTTCATGTTTTATTTTAACTTGGGGCACAGGAAACATTTTTGTTGTAGGTTGGCCAGCTCCTCCATGACCACAACCCCCTCCAACACGATGCCTACTCTGGATGGGTTGAGATGAGGATATTTTCGTCAATGCAGAGGATTCCCACTGGCATCTGACTGTACAAGTCCTTGTCACTTGGGTCCTGACAGAAGGAAACAGACAAGGAGAATAAATATAACTTCTCAAACTGACAAAACACAACAAAGTTAGCCGTTAGCAACTAGTAAACACGGCTTCCTCTGCCTCCTACGTCACATCCGCCTTCTTCGCTTGGTAAAGTAGTGGCGAATCGCTACTTTGCAGCGGAAGATGTCAGCCTCCGTGTAGGGGGACCCGCGGTATATGTACATAAAAAGGCGAAATCTAAAGTAATAAAAATGTAACGACTCGTTTCATAGGGTGACTATATAGCACTAACAACATAGTTGTATGTATTATATTACATTTCTGTTAATAAATCACCATTAATATTACACACTGGACCTTTTAATCGCTAAAAAAACAATGCACCTGCATCATTTACAATAAATGTAGTTACTTGGAGGGAAGGTTTTGAAGAATTCAGAGGGATCATCCCCCAAGATGACTGGCAGTCCCCGAAGACAAAGGCACCTTATGTCTTTTGGCTCCATGGTCTGGAAGATAGTGGTCATAACTAAATACACTCACATATAGTTATGAAATAGATTCCATGACTTCCCCACAGTTTTTAATTACTTTTAGGGCTGTCAAAGTAACATGTTAATTTCAATTAATTATAGAAAAAATAACGCAGATTAATCAGACTGCATCCATGAGGAGAATCAGGAAACTTCAGCTCACTCTCCAGCACAGTAGGTGGAAAGAGAAAAACAAAAAAAACAAAATAAAATAAGTTGAAAATATTTAACTGCTGTAAACTGCAATTTCTATTAGCTTCCGAGCTAACGGGTCTCTAGCAAGTGGAAATATCCATATTACTGGTTAAAACAACGTTTTTACAGTTCACAAACAGCCACTGCAGCCAAATCTATGGACTATGGAGAGAGAAAATGTCTTTTTAACTGGTTAAAATTTTGTTGTTTTCTCTACTCTGGAGCTAAAATGTGACGAACATTAGCATATAATCTTAGCTGGTTAAAACAACATTTTTCAGCCAACTAAGACACAGTGCCAACTTTAAAATCAAATATTAAAACACAGTGTGGTCGCTCACTCACCAGATTCAGTCGTCCTGTCGCAGGACACATCGACTTGATAGGCTAACCAGGGCGCAACAGGTGAACACAAATACGGGAGAAGTAACGGAAATGCTGCATTCAAGTGCTGCCAGAATAATCGGACAAATTATTTCAAACTTCAAATTAATATAACCTATACATTTTGCTTAGATGTAACGTATAATACAATATTTAAGTTAATTGCTGTCCATGTAGAGTGACTATAGCACAAACCCTGATAACAAGTCAATATTTTGTGGTTTTAGGGAATGTAGGTTACTCATGCAGCAATAAGTCTGGGACAAAATAAAGCTTCAGACCGTCTCAGCACGTTTGATAACGTGAATCTCCACTGGTATGCAATCAATGTCTTTTTAACACTCTGAAAAATATTAAAATACAACACATTTGTTTTGTAGCATCCATGTTGTTCCCACATTATTTCCCACAGAGTCAGAAAAATTACTTCCCAACTCAGGAATGCCAAAACTTCCAATACAAATGAATGCAGCACTAATCATCAAGATTCAAATTCTGTTGTGACAGGAAATAAAGAGGTGTGGTCATGACCTAAACTTATGAATTCCAGCCCATTAAACTTAAAAATTATTCACACATTATATTCCTGTCAAATATAAGTATATTCTACTTCTAATTAGTAGAATATACTTACATTTGATAGTAATGCAATCAAACTTAAATTGATTAATTACATTGTACTTGATTGTTTGATTAGATATGAAATCCGGGCTAACAGTGTAGTCCCCAGTCTGGTTGTACAGTTTGGGTGAGCCTGGGAAGACCTCTAAGATCCACTACTCACTGAAATCACCTAGTGTAAAGTCTGATTAGTTTACATCTATACTCTGGACATAAGCTCCTACTTGTGACTGTTCTTGGCTTGACTTTGTCCAACAAGCTTTTTGGCAGCTCATCAGATGCAGGCAACTTTTTTGACCAGTCAGGTTACAACACTGAACTGCTCGACATCTACAATGCTGTGAGTGAATGACCCTGCAGGTGGTCTCCTCAAAGTCACCTTTGTAGTTCAGGAAAGTTAATTTGGCTTTGGATTCCAACAGCCTGACAATTGAGTCCTGATCCAAGTTCCACCTTTGGTACATCCTTCAGAGAACAAAGGCTGAACAAGAGATTACCCGGGCCCATCAGTAAAGCAGTGAGTTAGTGCCCTGGTGTAAATGACTTTGCCAAGTTGGGCGTATTCTTAATCACATTCTCCTTAAGGCCACCTGAGAGTACCATGTCCCATGTCTTTGAACAGACCGAACCTTTGCCCTTTGCCTTGTACAATGCCCTACGTACCATAATAGCTCCCTTCTACTTTGAAGAGATAACCAGGCCAACTGGAACATACAGGCCTAATACTTGGCTGAGCAGTTCTTCTTGTTAGGGGCTTTTTTGTCTGAGTTCTGATTTGCTCTTGCAGCATCTTAACCAAGTCGTATCTTTTTCTTTCTCTTCGAGAAATTGATTGCAATAAGGGATAGTACAACACACACAACGTACAGCACAACACAGGTCTGATTTGCCATTTTGCCCACAAATGCCCTTTGTTTTAAAGCCAGTTGGACTGATTGATGAAATAATGGCAGGTATGCCTGACCAGTCAGAGGGGAGGGCGGTACCTGGAACAGGGTACACATAGAAGAGGCAGAGGCAAAACAAAGCAATATACTTGTAACACAGAGAAACACATCTACATGCAGAATGAGGAGCTGCCTTGGAGTCTTGCTAGAGGTATCTTTGCAGGTGCACTTCTCAGTCTTTCACCAAAACTTTGTTTTACGTCTTCTTCATTTCTCCCAGAGACATGTATACTCAGCCCGGAAAATGTAAAAAACCACGTGAATCTTGTTGAGGATATCTTGGCCCGCATGCTGCACTGCTACAATCCCGTCTCTACAAATCTAAAAAGTCCAGATAAGTGGTTGATGTACATGACTTCTGGAACGGTGGAATTTGGTCTAGGAACCAACCAGTGAGCTCCTCATATTTTACAGCAGCTGTCCTGACTGACTTTACAAAATGTGTCTTGGACACTTTTTATCATCACCATTGCCAAAAATCATCAGATTTACAAATTGATTTATAATAGACAGTAGATACAAAATAAAGACATTGAACACATCAACACTAAAGAGTTAAATTATCACAAGTAAATGGGCTTCTGACCATCCGTGGCATAAAGCTAGGGCTAACCCAAACTGGCGGCAGCAGTGATCTTCGCCAGGGAAACAGTCTCTCAAATTATTTTAAAGTTCAGTCTTACTATTAGGGCTTCCCCGGACTAAATTAAGGGATTATGGGAGAAGGACAGAGACAGAGACAAAGTTGCACAGCAACAACAGT